CTTCTGATAACATCTTCAAAGCACATGAGACAAATTCTTGCCATCCTTGCTTCTAAGGAGATTCCAGCTGTACTCTTTCAAAGACAAACTTGTTGGTTCTTCATAATAAAGTAATAGACTTCAGAAATCCCGATCAGAAAATAGAAAATAAGGAGTGTCAACAGACAGCTACACATAAGTTCCAGCACACCCAACATATGTATCTAATGTTGCTTGTATGCAAATCGCAGGGGGAGAAAATGAAACACTTCTAGATTTGTGAAAACACTTTTAACATAATATTACAATAATAATAATAATAATAATACCAATAGCACATCAAAGTAGCACCCATTTATTTTTACCAACCATTTTAGGTAGTCAGACATTTATGACCTGGGGACTATGTGTATATAACATCGTTTTTGTACAATGTCCAAATCACCTGATGTCCTTTTTCATGAAACGTATCACAGATGTTAAGCAATGTGTGAATATATTATAGACCAAAAATCAAATGCATGATGTTCACCAATATCCAAGAGCCAACAAACATATGAAAAGATGTTCAATTTCCACACCAATAAAAAGTTTTAAATGAGATAACTTACCCAGGCTGACAAAATTTTCAAGTTATTAATATCAAGGATTGATAACTGCATTAAGAGACAGCTACTTGCATAGTTTTACGTATCAAACCAAACCTACTACCATCAAGTGAATTCCAATTCAGTAACCCTACGAGACAGAGTAGGATTAGAGTTTCTTAGACTTTATGGGAAGTCTTTATGGGAAGAACAGTCCGTCTCATCTTTTCCTAGTAAAGCTGTTGATGAGTTTGAACCACCAACCGTGAGGTTGGCAATCCAACTCTTTTTAATCACTTTATTAGGGGCTCTTACAACTCTGTAACATTCCATATATCAATTGTATCAAGCATATTTGTACAAATGTCACCATCATCATCTCCAAAACATTTTCCTACTTGAACCCTTGGTATAAGTTCCTCTTTCCCCTCCTCCCTTCCCTGGTGTGTCCTTAATCAATTATATATTGTTATTGTTATTTCATATCTTACACTGTCCATTGTCTCCCTCCGCCCACACTTCTGTTAATGGTCCCCTTGGGGGAAGGGGGACGTTCTATCCAATCTTGTGATTGCTTCCCCCTTTCTCACTCTTCCCCCTACCCTCATGATATGGCTACTCCCTTACTGTTCCTGAGGCGTTTATCTTTCCGGAATTCCATGTGTCAAGAGATCTTACCTGTACCAATGTGTGTTCTCCAGTCTAGCCAGATTTGTAAGTTAGAACTGGGTCATGAGTGGGGGGAAGGAAATATTCATCAGGAACTAGAGGAATGATGTGTGATTCGTCGGGTGCTATGCTGCACCTTGGATGAATCATCCCTTCCTTCTAACCTTCTGTGGGGGGAAGCACCTGAACTTTGAACGCACGGTGCCACCAGGGCTCCTACTAGCATGTACAGACGGTACAAATATAATTGCTCCAGATTCTTGATAGACAAATTGGCATCATTTTAAACTTTTAAACATCCATGTCCCTGTGACTCAGCAATGTTATTTCTGAGGATCTGCCACACAACCCATTGATTTGAATCAGCTTTCAAAAGAGGTTTATCATACCACTGTTAATAGCAAAAAATAGTGGAAAGTGTCTAAATAATGCCTATAAAATAGAAGTCTATGCAGCCATTAAAAATAAAAACGGATGGATAAATGGATATATAGGCTATAGCGTAAGACAACCTACAAATATTGGTGAGTGAAAATAGAGAAAAGCATAATAATAAATTCTGATAAATTTTATCACACTAAAAGCCACATGTGAAAAGTAATACTATAAAATTTCTATTAATGGTTTTTACACAAAAATACCAACAAAAAAGCCTAGAATAATACACACCCAACATTGAAGTGTAATTACTTAAGATAAAAAAACAGTAGGGTCAAAGAAAGTGTTAACCTTAAGAGTAATTAAAAAAAA